AATAAATTTGTTTTATTCATGATTCATGTAATTTAAGGAATTTTAAAATTAAAGAATTTAATTAAACAAATAATATATAAAAAATAATGATTCGATTATTTGAATATTTTTGCCGATTATTCGCATAACAATGAATTTTAATCATCCAAACACTACGGTAAGTTACATAGCGACATATCATTGAAACGACGTCAAGTAAAAACGTTGATACTGGTTATTTTTTTTAATATTTTGCTTTGTTTGAAAGATTCGAATTTAAATTAGTGATAAAAAACTATACTCGTTGTAATGAAATATAGATAACTTCATAGTTCTTCGGATTTACGTAAAAGTTTATTTAAAATCGTGTGAGTACGCTTGTGCTAAGTTATTGCGGAATGATTCATGTGAAACGTCAAAAGGTATTTCTTAGATTTAGTTGACTATAATTGACTATTGTCCGTTCATCTTAACTTGACGCGTGAGTGATTGGTAGCACTGCTTCTTCACTCGCCATCTTTATTTTAGTTTGATCGGTTGCCACCTGTGTGCTCTTTTGCTTTTTAATAATTTCATCTTAGTTTTAAAAATGCCGAAAGTAGTTAAAAGTGCTAAAAGGCAAACTATTCTTCAAGTTTACGCTTTTCGTGAAAAAAGAAAAGGCTGAAAACAAGCTGATTGTGCCATTGCAACAAGTTCGTGCCCGAGTTGCCGCCATGACCGGTATGTTTTGGGGTGACCAGTTACAAAGATTTAGATTAACTGTATGTAATTCGGTAAATGATATTAAAATATTTCTATGTAAAGAAGTATATATATTACTAACGTACATGTGTATTTTAGTAACGTCACTAACGTTACTAAATTATTCTGATTTTATTTACTACCAAAGAATCAAATTGCATTTGTTTACTGATTACAGATGTATCCGAATCTACTGTAACCCGAATTTTGAGACAAGAAAGAGAGGCCAGTTCTGTTTCAAATTTGAGTGTGCCCGGTCCATCAAAAGTATCAACACCAGGAAAAAAACGATCAAATCGCGATACAAAGATCAAAATCGATGATTTTGATGCTTGTGCAATACGACAAAAAATTATGTCATTTTACGCTGTACGAAAAGAAATTCCTACATTAAACAAATTACTTGTCGAATTGCGAGATGAAATAAAATTTGAAGGTGGGCGTACTACACTATGGAAAATATTAAAACGACTCGGATATAAATACAAAAAATGTCAATCAAAACGAAAAATGTTAGTGGAACGAACAGGTATAGCTGCGTGGCGATTTAATTACTTAAATGAAATTAAAAAATACCGAGAAGAGGGGCGGACTATTGTCTACATAGATGAAACATTTATCCATTGTTCATATGGGGTGCAAAAATGTTGGCAGTCAGATTCTGAAGAAGGTTTATTAGTGAGAGATTCAGGTACGGGTAGGCGATGGATAATTGCACACACTGGAACTACAGACGGCTTCATTAATAATGCGTTATTGCTATTCAAGTCACAAACAAAGTCATCCGACTACCATGACGACATGAATAGCAATAACTTTATAAAATGGCTGGAAACACAAGTTTTACCAAATCTGCCACCTAATTGTGTGATTGTGATGGACATGTGGCCGATGAAGGAAAAGGGGAGATCTCCCGCCGGGCAAGGTGTTCTGCCCGGGGAGCGGCCAACACTCCGTGTCATAGTTCGAAGATGTTCTATATATGCTGTTTATGATTCGGAATGTTGATAGCGTGATTTAGGCTTTGGTGTGTTTCGCTTGCGGCGCAATGACAGCGCCGCCACATCACCCCTGCTCAGACCGGAGGTCGATAGTGTAGTCCGATTGCCGGTGTGTCCTTTTAATGCCGGTGGGGAATGCATGCTGTGTGCGTAAGGGCAAGTGACACCGGTGCGAATGATATGCCGATGTGTAATGCATGCCGTACTACGCACTGGCAAGTGATGCCGGTGAGAACGATGTGCTGGAGCAAGTGCCAGAAGTCTGCCTTATAAATCTGCGGTGAGTCGAGATGAAGACAAGTTGGACTGGCTTGCAGGAACTGAAGACTCTAGAAGACGATTCTCAGTAGTGACTGGTAGGGGTTCTTGAGGATAATGACGAAGGCTTGAAGTTGTAGTTTCCGAAGGTGTTTGGTTGCGTGTTCAGATCACGTCAGGTGGTCACCACTGTGGCCGTGGAAGGAAAAGGGGAGATCTCCCGCCGGGCAAGGTGTTATGCCCGGGGAGCGGCCAACGCTCCATGTGATAGTTCGGAGATGTTCTATATATGCTGTTTATGATTCGGAATGTTGATAGCGTGATTTAGGCTTCGGTGTGTTTCGCTTGCGGCGCAATGACAGCGCCGCCACAGACAAAGCGCCATATCATACTGTACAAATAAATAAAAGCCCTAATATGGCAAGCCTCAAAATAGAAATGGTAGAGTGGCTTCAAAACAAGGGACTATTGTTTTCACCAAATTTGCCAAAAAATGTTTCATATGAATTAATAAAAAAAAATAAACCAGATCCTATATATAAAGCTGACGAATTAATAAAATCACATGGTCACAAGGTTTTACGACTGCCCCCATATCATGCGGATTTAAATCCAATTGAGCTAATATGGAGTGTTGCGAAGAGACGGTTCGCAGAAAAAAATGTGGACCAGAGAGATGATCAAGTGGAATCACTTATAAAAGAAACGTTTAGCTCAATAAGCGAAGAGCTTTGGAAAAAAGAGTGCTCTCATGTTATAAAAATTGAAGATGAGTACATAGGGAAAGACAAAATAATAGATGAAGGAAGTGATCGCTTTTTATTGTGGGTTGGCAGTGACAGTGATGAAAGTGGTAGTGACAGTGAGTATTCAAGTGACATTGAAGAAGATATGATCCCTTTACACCTTATTGATCATAATTATATAAAGTGATTCTTTTTAAACATGTCTGAATTTTATCCTGAATGTTCCTATTGATATGTGAATTATTTCAGAGAATACACTATGACACTTAAAAACATGAGTATGGTCATTATACACATGAGTAAAGTCATTAGTACCATATCCATAATGCCTGTCCCTACATTTTGGGAATCCTATTCACATTGAAACATGCAACACTGTAAATTACAGTGCTGCCAATCGGATTACGCGTCAAGTTACGATGAACGAACAATATTATAATTGTTGTAGTTGTTACGATTCGTCAGTTAAGACAGGCAAAGGTCTTATACCATACAGCCGAGTTTGACGTGTATTTTATTCAGAAAACTTCTATATATACTAATGCATTTACGTAATTGTACTAAATAGTAGTAAAAACACCAAACATACATTACTTTTACACCCTATAACACTACACCGCATCATGTTTTAAAAAATGGTTGGAATACTAATTCTAAATGGTTCACAACTAAATATAACATGAATTACTTAACATAAAGCACGTAAAACAGTATTTTATAAAAAGAAGATATCTCGCTACACGTTAATTCTCAAACTTTGTTTAGCAAAGTAGAACAGTTGAAAAACGTGGCATGCTCAGCGAAACAAATACTCTCATCGTTCTATTTTATTTCTTTACACGACATCGGCGTAAATTGCTCTTTCTCTTATGTGACTGTGACAAAAGATATCAATTTGTCTATAGCATTCTCTGTCTACGATATCTAATCTATGATATTTTTAAGTATTTCGAGATTTGGTGAAGTCAGATGAGTTGAAGGAACGTGTTCTACATGCTCCTTTGAAATAGTGGTTTCAGTAGCCTGCTTCAAAAAATATCCACCCGTACGATTAAAAAAAGTGGTTATAATAATGATTTCTTATATTTACGCGAACACTACACTTACAAACTTCGGGTATATAAAAAGTTAATATACGCGATAAAATCCGTAAAAACTAATATTATTTAAAAGGGTTATAGTTTTCAATGTTATTGTATGTATTTGTATTCCACAGTTAATTCAAAAAAGGTAAAAATAAAACTTGATAAAAAGTATGCTACTTACTAAAAAAAAATCTACATAATAGCTCAAGTCAGGGCTTTTTTCCTTACACTATGTCTACCACTGACTTCTGAAGTTATTATTTTAAAATTATTTATTTTATTATTTCTAGTTCTTTAAGTCACCTTTTATAGATAGAATTTTCTTGATTTAAGTTTCCTTGAACTGCCTTTAAACTGTGCCATGTGCTTCTATTAAATCTGTTCTATTCCTTTTACTTAACTTTTGTGCAGTCGTGGAAGTCTTACTGCCTTTAAGTACCTATAAATCATAATGCCTCATAAATGCTTGTAGCCAAATTGTGCCACAGATAAAAGATAATCAAGGCCGCTCACTAAATATGTTCGAATACCATTGCATTACATTTTAATATAAAAAAAAAACATTATTAGTTAGGCTCACAAACCAATAAGAAGTTTAGGCTTAACGTTTTTGTTATATTTAGGTAATAGGCTCAGACAAAATAAAAAGTATTTTGTCTGAGGTAATAGGTAATATCTTGCCTTAGTTTAAAAATCTATTAAATCAGATTTATTGTTTGTGTAGACATGTTTGAGTTTTCCAATTCAATGGTAAGGTTTGGATATGAGAAAATTAGTGTGTATGTAAATGTAAAAACAGGCATTTAACTAAATACACAAAAAATGTAGATATCAATGAGTACAGGCCATATTTTTTTAATCTTAGGTCTCCCTAGCTTACAGCACAGGGAAGAGCTTATTTCAAGCTGTTTCAGGTTTCAGACACATTTTCGATTTGATTATTAGTAAATTTGAATATTAAGTAATAGCTATTTAGGTTTAGACAAGAGTTACGATATCGTTATTTTGAAAACCTGTTTTTTTCCCTGTTACGATAAATACGTCTAACTCACTCATATCAATAATGTCAAATGTCAATGTCAAATGGTTAAAATTAATAGATAGTAGTTATCAATCATAAAAATTGTCCGCATTAGTAGGTACATTTTATGGGGTCACTTTATACAAAATTAATAAAAACTTCGACAATGGCGAGTTCAGTAGAAATTCAACAATTCATCAAAGATGCTATTGCTAAGGACAAAGTAGTTGTGTTTTCAAAATCGTATTGCCCATATTGCACTATGGCAAAAAATGTAAGTGTGATTTCATACATTTTTTACTATTAAGCTGTGTCATCTAGACATTAATATTATATTTAAGATCGATTGTTAGTTTACACGATCGACTTAGCAGTTTTACAGTTCTTCATAATAATGCATACAACTTTGTAGGTACGTGGTAGAGCCACGCTGCAGCTTTGTTATAGTTGTAGCACGAATGGGTCGGCTCAACCGGGGCAGGACCACGCTCTCACAGAATACTATCGTAAAATAGCAGCGTAATGCTGCTGTGTTTCGTATGATGAGTGTAGATAACCAGAGACCCTTTTTACTGGAATCAAGGCATTCCATTTTAGTCCTCAGGGGTGACAATCCATTTGAATTTTGATTCTTAATTTAGGATAAATGTGGATGTCTATGGACCACAGCATCCACTTATCATCAGGTGGACATCAGGTGTGTGCTCGTTTGTCACCCAATGCATTAAAAAGTGCTTGTATTTAATGTACGATTGTGATTAAAGTGTTTTCATTTATAAATCTTCAGGTTTTTGAAAAAGTTAAACAACCAATCCAGGTATATGAGCTGAATGAACGTGATGATGGGGACGTAATTCAATCTAATCTAGCAGAAATAACAGGATTCCGAACTGTGAGTATTTTAAAAAGTTTAAGTGGTAGCACAGTTAATGATATAAATATCAAAAGCATTAGAATAGATTTGATAAGCTAATAAATTATTTTGAATTCTAATCTATTCTACATACAAATAGACAATAGATTAACCAAATAGGTACACTGATTATAATTGGTATGTTTAACATAATTAAGCAACTATTTTTAACATTATGTATCTCTTGATGAGCTGTAATAAATGATTTAGGAACATGAATTTTTCCGCTTTGAATTATAGTTCAAAAATTATAAATCTGATTAAACCATATCCATAGAATTAATTAATAAACATTTATCCCCTGGTTTTAAATCCATTAAAATATATACCTAATTAAAATTGTATTAAAATTATGACATGTTTGATTTTTATTTTTACACCATTGTAACAGGACGTAAAGGACCTGTTAAATCTATATATTAGGATGACCAACACTAAGTTGTTGTTAGTTGTTCAATTAGTACAATTATGAAATCATTCTAATTACTTGTTTCGGTGAGCATGCCTGAAATTACATGATATATTTCCTTCCCCTCCTTTCCACCATCGGATAATCAGGCTGTCCGATTATCCGATGGTGGAAAGTGAAGCGGTCTTTAACTCTTTGTTGTCGATATTCCACACATTAGGCCAAATAATTTGCTTTATATTTTGTAATGGGTATAGCAAAAAAGTAGAATGATTTGCCGGCATCTATCTGTCCTTCCGAATACAATCTGGGCGTCTTCAAGGCAAGAGTGAATGGACTTTTGTTATGCTGAGACAGTATGAATTATCAGCTACATCACCACTTACCACCAGCTGGGATTGTGGTCGAGCACTGGCTTATGTTAACCCTTCAATCCCCATAAAAATCCTATGCAGTTGCACGCGCCCGGCTAATCTTGAATTTCTTCATAGAAAAGTAGTCTCTAAATATAAGTTTTAATGTAATAAAGTGCTGTGGGTGTACGCGGTCGAATCCGGCTGCTTGAATTTTGATGGTATACCGCCATGGTCGAATTGGACCACTAAGAGATTGAAGGTTTAAGTAAAAAAAATGAAGGCAGTGATATTGGTATTCTATTAATCTCCAGATTCAAATGCCAGGACGGGTGAAATAAAGAAATTAATTATAAATTTTTTCTCTTAAGAAATTTTCGGTAGTAGCCCAGAGTTAGGTAGTTAGTGGTGTTTCACCACACCATGCCTCTGAAAATATGTAAACCTGTTGGTCCCGTGCTTGATATCTCCCATATTGTGTCTGTTTGTTCTCTACTCGGACTATGAGAGTGAGCGAATAGAAAGTGGTTCTGTGTTTGCACACCAGAGCACTATATATAAATTTCCTTGTAAGGTAATATTTGCTAGTTGCCATATAGTTGCCATTCTAGGCTATTGGGATGGCAACAGCTTAACACAAACATCTTTTTTAACAGTAATCAACAATTGATGAATAACATGATTTTATAATTTCAATTCGGATAAGTCTCTCTTTAATATTATTTATTTAAAATTTTCTTCACTGTGACTTTATATGTGTAATATCTTAATATTGTAGAATTGTGTATGTGTTATACTCATTTTTATAATAAAATTATAAATATATATATGTATACAAAAATTATAAATATATCATAACTATAATATTGGATAAATATATTCAATCTTATGCAATATTATACTGATGACATATTGTGATATATTGAGCAATGAGAGCATATAAAGTTAAGTTTTAGATTACACAATCATTTGAAAATTATTTTTTTGTTTCAGGTTCCGCAAGTATTCATTAATGGAAATTGTGTTGGAGGTGGCACAGATGTGAAAGCTCTTTATGATTCTGGAAAACTTCAACCAATGTTGATTGGTTGAATTAAATTTTATAATATGAATGATATAAATTTTAAATAAAATGTATAATACAATTTACAAAAATAGCATATAATTTGTAAATTTAAAAAAAACATTAATTTTTTTATTGATTCTCGCTCAGTTTTACTACCTTTTGTATGTTTATTATAAAGAAAATAGTACAACATTTTATATTATGTTATTTTTGTGAGATAGCATTTTTATGTAAATAGTCTAACTGGTTGTAAAATGAGTTAACATGTTTTTTTAACTTATATGTTAGAAAAAGTAAATTTATTTTATTTATTGTGGTGATTTTAACTATATAATTATCTTTCGTTATATATACTTTCTAAGCTAAGCTTCAGCAAATATGCAAGCAAAATCTCGGCACTGTACTCTCAGTTGAGAAAGGAAACAGGGATTTCTGGGCCCAATTTGTAATAAGTTTTTTTTTATGGCTTCAAAAAGCGTTGTATATTTCTATTTCAAAATATAAAAAATTTGCCCAATTCACAATCTAGAAAACGAGAAATCTAAAAATAAGTTTATGTCACAAATAAAATAGGAAATCGATTACTTTAATTGATTAATGTGAATAAGTTTTAACAATTAAACATAAAAATAACTTACATCATTGATTAAAGCTACTTTTACTGATTTTATCGCGTTTAATTCACGTGATATTAATGTTCACGACGGACTGAAGTGACTGATGTCCCAATGCCAATGTTAACCCGGAGTACCTTCATCTTTTTAATTATTACTTATGGTCCGCTCTATTCAGAATTTACTTACTGTCTTGAGGTCTTGCACTAGTATGTCTGTGTTATGTTTTAATTTTATTAATTACAGGATCCCAAGCAAGTGGCAGTACCCAGCCTCTTTTTCTACTGAAATAAGAATGTTTTTCGGTTTCTATAGCCTAAACTAACATATCATCCTTGGTAAGAATCGATGTTCTTTCGCAAGGATTTGTCTATCAATAATCTGATCTGATGGTGGGAGTGGGAGCTGTCGAGGATATGATCACAAACTGCAGACTTCCCAGAATGTTGGTGCTGGTTGGTGCTTCATGTCAGATATATGTTCTTTTACGCGGGTTCTAATTGATCTCTTTGTTTACCATATATATAAGAGACCACATTCACAATTCAGCTTGTACACTCATGCATCTTGTGGAGGAATATGACGCTTGGTAAGAACTAACGAGAGCTATGGCCGCAGACGTAGACACTGTGTGGAAGCTTTTTATCACTTTAATAGCAAAAACGCGCTGCACAGCTTCAAGGCTCCTCTTGATGCACTTTTTAAGGGCTGCATGACCTCATACATGAGCAGCGTAAGTGATAGAAGGTTCAATTACTTGCTGGTATATGGTGCGGATGTTCTCAGGGTGAGCCCCCCAGGTAGGCCACGTGGATGCATAAGGTGTTAAATATCCGCACAACTTTATTAACACGTAGAGTACAAGACGGCCAAACAAAAGCTTCTCGTTTAAGATGACCCCATGTATTTGATTTCCGATGTAAAGCTGATATCACATCCGCCTATATGCCGCAATCGGTGGAAGAGTGCCGACCACGAGGCGTTATCAAAGGCTGTTCTGATGTCTAATAAGACAGCGACAGCTAATTGTCGATTCTTTTTGCCCCGTTTAATAATGTTAAGAGCAGTATTGATAGCCGAGTTAAATGTCTCTACCGAGACCTTGCAAGCAATGAGGAAGTCACCTACCATACAGCATCGCTTGCTAAGCAAATAACAGCACATGACTTAAGAATATACAACACAGTGCCATCAGGAAGTCACCTACCGCCTGCTAAGCAGAAAATCAGCACGTCTTTAAAGATGTAACTCAGTTTACTTACGTGACGTAAGAATACTCAATACAATAAAAACTAAGGTATAATTGTTAAGACAGCCCAGTAATAATTAAATTAGTTTGTAAGTTAACTAGTTTAGTATTTCTGTCATGTATTGTCACAGTAGAATACAATAGAATAATTTTTTATTCAATATAGTTTACAAGGAGATCTTATTGAAAGTCAATTTTTTTACTTTACCTACCACTGGTTCGAAAAAAAAATCTCTGTACTGGGAAGAATCAGCAAGAACCCAGCGGGACTTTAAAAAAAATACAATTTCAATGGTCACAAAATAGCTACAAAATTTATTTTAGAAACAGCTTGGAAGCGACCACGTATTCGTTTATATGATAATAACCCTTTTTATACAGTTTTTGTTTAATTAAATATTTAAACTTGGTAATAGAGAGACCTTGTATATTTTCTGGGACTGTTGTAATAGCGTATAGATTGCTCCACGAATGAATTACTGACTGTAGTTAGGTTAACTTGTAAATTAGAAAATAAAAGAAATATAGGAAAAGTCTTCGTCTCCTTTCACTGCAACCCTCCCTAAGCTGCCGCAAACGTAAGTGGCGCAGTCGGTAGTCGGAAGGATATTACTTGGACTTGTGGCAGAAACGGTAGGGGGTCTTAAACATTTGACCAGGACTGGAGGAGCGGAATACCTGTAATTTCATGTAAATGCACTAGAATAGTTCGTGTGTTGCTTCCATAGACTTATACTACTGCGTAGTTGCTTCCTTGACTCTGCCATTCCCAACACCTTGTTTCTTTACTCCTAGTATAATATTCCTGAACCTTTAATAATTATAGTCATAACTTAGGTAATTAATTAAGGCGAGGTTAACTATTTTTAAGATTTTATTGTTTCTAGAGATTGGGAGCCTGAATTGCGACAGGTCCGCCGACGGATAGTAGATAACAACAGGATTTATTAAGATATACGTGATAAGTTAGCCTCGTAGTATCTTAGCACGAATCCTGGTAGTGAATTCACAAATGTATGTTTATTGAACTGGATTTTTTTTAATTATGTGCGAGCAGCTATGCAACCTACCACCTAAAAGATCTATTGTGACCGCTGCTGTGGCTATAGTTCACTGCTGAGCCCTATATCTTCAATGAATAGAGGAGTTGCTTAGCCGTGAGCAATTTCACTTCTTCTGGGCGGAGTACATATGAGTTCCCCAGATGAGTGTTACGTTTGCGCATTAAGGGCCCGTAATCTGTTAGGATGTGCAGAGACGTTTCTTCCGTTATGGAACTGAACCGACACATCCTTGAGTTGCTTAGTCCCAGGATGGACTCTGCCAGAATGCGCAATTTATTTTTACTTAATCCCAGGGCTTCTGAAGCGAATTTACGACCAAAAGCCCGGATTAAGGTTTTAGAATGTTTTAAGTCAGGTGTGTCAGACTAGATCTTAAGTGATTTATTGTGATAAAGGGTTTCAAGGGTCAATCGGGCTAGGCTTAATGAGATCCCACAAAATGCCTCAGGTCCAAATTGCGTACACTATGAGCCCTCCCGTGCAAGATTGTCGGCAAATTCATTGCCTACAATACCCTCGTGACCTGGAACCCATCTTAAAACGACCCTGTTGGTACATCCTAGGGCGTTTAAACGGTTCACGCAGTCTCCAACTAGCTTCGAGTTCACTAAGTTTGACCTCAGTGCTAGCAGTGCTACTAGACTATCAGAGTTTATATACATTATATGTTTGACGTAGTAATTTTGCAGATTGATTTCCGCACACTGAAGTATGGCGAAAATTTCTGCATGGAAGATAGAGGTGTATCTACCCAAATTCATACAAAATTTGAATTTGAGGCGTTCCCTGTAAATTCCAAAGCCTACGTCGAGGCCCATTTTAGACCCATCGGTATACCATATGAGGCTACCGACCTCACAAATAACCTGGCCATTCAGCCAGTATTCTCTGGAGAGTAATTCCACTATATACTTTTTTATCAAAAGTGTGTAGTGGACGCATGATATCTAAGATCATGCATAAGACCGTTGTTTCCTTAATTGAGTTGAGCATGGATCTCAATCTTTAGGGGCGTTAGGCATAGAAGTGCATTAAGAGCCGCTCCAGGCGATGATCGCATATCTCCAGTAGCCATTAAGCAGGCAGTCCTTTGTAGACTATTTAGTCTGTCCGCAGTCGTGTTATGGTTGTTATTGTTACACCAGACAATAGAAGCGTAGGTGAGAATCGGCCTCACTATGTTGCTGTACAGCACTAGAACCATACTGGGACGCAAGCCCCAGTTGTTCCCGACCAACTGCACTTACCTAAAGCAATTTTTGCCTTGTGGCATACGTTGCTAAGGTGAGAGTTCCACGTTAGTTTTTAGTCGATTGTTACGCACAAGTACTTAACTTCAGTGGGAAATGGTACTTCTTTACCGTTAAGTTTTGGTTTGACTAATTTGACTGTCTCTTTTTGGTAAAGAGTATTATAGCAGTTTTATTAGCATTAACTGATAAACTGTTATCCTTACACCATTTATTTATGATGTTTAGGGCTCTTTGTATGATTGACGATAAAGTACTTGGCATAAGCCCCTCGCAGTGATCACAAGATCATCAGCATAACCCAGTGTGTCAATGCGTAGGTCTGCCATTTTGTACCATAGTTGGTCAACCGCAAGAGTCCAAAGAAGGGGTGACGAAACACCTCCTTGTGGTCAGTCTCTTGTAGTTGCAACCTCAATCGAAGTTTGAAACAGCGCTATTTTTGCCTTTTGTGTTTGAGAGCATCGACTTCACCCATCTGATGGTTGTGGGGTCAAAATTTTTAGATGTCAGGCCCCTAATCAACAGTGATGCGAGGCTACTGTCGAAGGCACCCTCAATATCTAGAAAGGCACAAAGAGCTATTTCTTTATCCTCCAGTGCTTTTTTGAACCTGTCAATGACACTAATCGGGATTGTTTCCGTAGATTTGCCTCTACGGTAAGCATGCTGATTGTAATTTATGGGCCTCGTAGCTAGAACTATGTCCCTTACATATCTATCTATAACCTTTTCCAATGTCTTAAGGAGAAAGGAAGATAGGCTTTTAGGTCTAAAGGACTTTGGTAAAACGTAGTCCTTTATACCAGCCTTAGGTAGAAATAAAACCTTGACAATTGTCCATCGTTC